GGGGGGGGTGAATGATGATAGGAAACTCGATGGTTCGTCTTTATTGGGGCATTTCGGACCGAAGATATATGAAGATCGATCTTGTCGTGTCACTGGGGGTTAGAAAAACAAAGGAAACGAAAAGAAGTCAGAACCATTGAACGAGTTTCCTGGTCTGTACGATGTGCAGCCACTCAGCTTCTTGTGTGAATCATGTTTCCCGAGGCTGCTCTGACACTTCTGACAGGAATCTTCAATCCGACAATATGTACTTCATCCTCCGTTCCTTTCGTTCCTACCGCGAGCATTGATCTTCGTCTTTGCCTACCGACCCACGCTGCCACGCCCTCGTCCTGAACTGATCCGTCAATCAATCAGTCCTGCTCATGAACCTGTTGAAGACATCCTTGCCCTTCTCCAGACTCTCCCTCTTCGCCTCCAGGATTGCCCTTCTCTTTGTCACATGTTGGGGCTCTGCTGCAGCAGCTGCGATCTCGGCATCGGTGAAGCTTGCTACCTTGAGAGGCGACAGAACGTCCTCCAGACCATCGACAAGATGGCGCTCGCAGCACTGCACCACGACATTATCGGTAAATCTTTTAAGTTCGACCTGAGAAGGACGATAATCAGTTTAACCCTCAATGAATAGAGTCAAGTGGTAGTTCTATGAGAAAGCGGGCCACCTACCTTGTAAATTGAGTTTAGACTATCCAGTGCATCAATACAGGAGTACTCATCCATGTCCATGACACAGCTGGTGATGTCAATGTCCTCATTCGCATCGGCAGGTTCATCATCTTTCGTTACCGGCGCAAGTGGAGATTGGGCTGGAGTGGGACTTCCGAACGTGAAAAACTTTGTGTTGTCGGTTTTCTGGCGTTTCGCGGTGGATGAGTTTGCCTCGGCAAGTCGACGCTTACGCTTCTTCTGGATTGTCAGTGTAAAGTAATGGTTGAGAGTGATCGGAGGGCGGTTCTTGTCTCGAATGAGCTTGGTCAATTCATCTCGGGCGTTGTTGGCACGATTTTTCAATTGATCTTGGATGATTAGACTAAGCTGTACTGAGGCATTGTCTTTGGGGCAGACAGTACGCAGCAGATCCGAACAGAAGCGGGAGCAAGCAGTTGATACATTGGCGATGTGTTGCTGGGATATCAAATGCCAATTTTGTGACTGTGCACGATACAGCTCGCCAACAACCATGGGATTATAGCTTCCAACCATTTCACGCCCGCGGTTGGCATTGAGAACTGTCTTGGCCCAGTCCACCATCTGATCTTGGCTCTTGTCATGCTGGACATACGACACTTCCACTCCGCCCAAGTCAGCGCTTCTCTTGACGGGCGTATCTGGAACTCCGGCAGGCTTGTTGACGAGGTTGTACTTTGTTCCTGCTCGGCGCAGAACGTCTGCATAATCGATGTGTTGCTTCTGAATGAGAGCTCTGAGTCGGCGAGTGGCAGGTTGACTTCCGCTAGAAATGTTGACATCTTCGCCGAAATGCTCATGATCATAATGGCCACCAACTGCTGCCTTGCAGATATCGCGGAAAGAAGTACTGATCCTTGTCAGGAACTGTCGCTGCTCAGATAAAGAGCCTCTTTTCTCTCCTAGCTTTTGGAGAAGCGTGTCATTTTGCGCGCTGGTAGTTTCAAGTTCACTGCGCAGTCGGGGCAATTCTTGTTTGACGTGTGTGAAAAGCAGCTCACTGAGGCGGCTTCGTAAATGGGAGATGCCGAGAGTATCAGGATCTAATTCTAACCATCTGCCTCTGGAGAAGAATTGGGCTTCAGTCGCGTTGCGCTCTGTGAACGAAGCATTACGCTCAGAAAAGGAGCGACCTCTGAGTACATGCCACCCCTTCTGAAAGGTTATGTTCTGATTCGAAGCAAATCCAATGAAAGCATCTTCACTCTCAGAACCAGGACTGAGCACATCGGGTTTCGTGATGATGCCTAATGTGCGCTGTCCATTTGGATCGTGCTCTCTAGCTCGCTTCAGAATGACCTGGTTTGCTGCATCATTCATGGCACTAACTACAGCAAGAATGATCGTTCGAGGATTTGAGATGTATTGTTCAACGAGCTTTGAGATGATCTCGACATCGTCTGCTGTCTGAGATCTGTTCTCAGAGTGGATTAACCCGGGGAGATCAACCAAGGTGAGCGCGGGTCTTTCCGGACCTTCAATGACAATGCGAAGTATGTCGCGCGAGAATGCTTGCCTCTTATCACCATCATCAAGACCCATTAATTTTGTTGCTTTGTCGATCAGGGCTGGTAGTTTGGATAGATTCGAGAGCGAGAGCTGTTGCTTCTGTAGACTATCTTGATCCGCCTGGCTACTTGTTTTGTCTGCAATAATACTTGCAGATACACGGACGACTCTTGACCTCCTCAGAACGAGCTCAGTCGCGAATCTGGTGCATAAGTTCTCTTTTCTCGGAAAAGGAATCTCTGTAATCGCTTCCAAGACCGAACTCTTTCCAGACGACTGGTCACCGCAGACGACTAGCTGAGGAAGGGATATGATTCCATCGAGGCCGCAGGTACGGAGTGCATCGACTGTGTTGAGGAGCTGTACCTGCTCGGCTGTCTGCAAGGTATCAAATGAACCAGGAATGACAAAGGACATTTTCCTGATCTTTCAGCGATGATGATACAGAGGGAGAGATAGAAATCATGAAAGAAAGATTTCCAGCAGCACATCTGCAGAAGGTAGAAGGTGAAAGAAAAAGCCGACGCTTTGGTCAGCCGGAACACCGCAGATGTACCTAAACACATTCGAGGTGTAAACACAACAAGGAGCACTCTCTGCCTAGGCTCAGGTGGCAATTACACCCTACTGTAAGTCCTCTTCGAACTGGCTGAGGGTGGAAGACTTAGATGTATGGCGGCCACCCGGTACACGCACGACATCGACGTGCTGACCTTAGTACCTCTGGTCTACAATCTCAGCACATCATTCTTTTTGCACAGAGGGGATGAAATGCATGCGAAGCATAGCGGCTTATGGAAGCCATGATGATCTGTCACAGATACTTCTTATAGTTATCTCGAACTGAGGCCTGTTCATTCATTGTCAGACTGCTCCTAGGTGGACTGGCCGCGAATTCATGTGGAGGGTCGAGCTCGACTCCTCTGATTGGCACGCTTTACATTGGTATCTGGCCTTCAAGTGCTGGGTCATCTATCTCATGCCGTCAGCCTAGGAAAAGAAGAGCAAGGACGAAAGTAGAAGCTGTGCGGTACTATGTTGTGTGCTCTTCCGCGTTGGGAAGGTAAGCCGGTAAATTCAACTTGTATGGGAATTGGTCAAGCCAGGAGTTCACGATGTGGGTTGTTGGTTGCGGCGTTGATAGCCCTTAACCCTATTGGACATGTGCTGACACTGGAACAAATTTATTGTCTTCAGCTTGGTGCTAATCATCATGTCTGCCACCATTGACACCGTTGCTGGCCGAGGATGGCACTGACTCGTCGCCATGTACTCCTCTCCAGCACTATCGGTTTCGTTGCTTGGGGATATGTGGTTCATTGGCTACCAATACTCCGCTACCTGGGCTATGCGTTCCTTTCGGGCGTAATACTTACAGCCCTTCTCCTCCTCACGATAACCTTTACGGTTTCTTGGCCGAGGCGAGATGGGCCCAATCAAGGCGCCGTTCCCAGATCCTCTCTCTGCTTTCTCGATCCCAAGAATTGGCAGGCCGAAATTGCCAGCTATCACGCATCAAAGAGCTACAGTGGAGCTCAATTATATCCTCCTTCCTTCGTGATATCGGCTGCGCTAGACGGTCTGGTTGACCTTGCCCTGAGGGACTTCATATCCTCGTGGTACAGCAATATTACACCAGACGCAACTTTCATTACAGAGATAGATAAAAACATCAGAGTAGCGTTAGGGGACATCAAAGACAGGTTGTTGCAGCAGGATCTCGTGGATGTTGCGGTCTCCCGAATCGTCCCACTTGTCACGGCGCACCTGAAAGACTTTGACCAGGCGGAACGAACCATCAGGGGCAAAGCACTGAACCGCAATGTGACAGAATCAGAAGAACTCGATCTAGCAATTGCTGCAAAGTATCGAGAGGGCAAACTACATCCTGCGGCATCTCTAGCCTATTCAGATATGAAGCTTGTGCAACAGGAGCATTTACGCAGAATACTTGTGCGCACCCTACCTGAGGTGCTCCCTGAGGAGATCACTAGGAGCAGAGCAGCCTTTGTCCTTGTCAAAGAAATTGTGGCTTGCGCTGTTCTTTTCCCAGTGATGCAGCTCCTCGCCGACCCGGATACTTGGAATCAGATGATGGAAGCTTATGGCCGCGTGGCGCTGCAAGACAGAAAAACGGTCCAAAAGCTGCGGGCTGCTTTGGACCAACACGCTTCACCGGCACGTAAATCCAGGCATGGAACTGCTGTTCCGAGTCTTACGCCGGGAGCCAACGAGCGCTCCTTTGAACGATTTGTGCGAGCCATACGGCAGACTAATAATCTTTCTGATATCCGACGGTTCCGAAACCACGTTGCCAGTCAGTTGAAGCGCGAAAGCATGGTTGACAATCAAGATCAGACATACCTGAGGCGCTTAGAGATTGGCAAGCGGGTATTAGATCAAAAGGTAGCAAAGCTTTCGACAGGTGGTGGTGCTGCTTCGATATTGCCCGGACAAGCTGACCACCGTATGAGAGGCGGAGCTCACTCCCACGATCCTAGCCTTGTCGAGATCATGAAAACGTCATCTGGACTGTCTTACTTCATGGAATACATGGATCGACTGAACCTCATGTCGCTCGTCCAGTTTTGGATAGTTGTAGACGGCTTTCGCAATCCGCTCGAGGATGATTTTGGAGATCATGCATCAAGCCCCGATTCCATCAGCTGGTCGGATACAGATAGGGCAGACATTGCACAGATCAACGAAGCATACATGTCTAGGCCCGAGTTAAAAGTGCCCGAGGAGATGCGAGACGCTATACGAGATTTTCTGAAAGCAGGTCGAACTGCGACTCCCACCCAATATCGCCGCGCTAGAACAGCAATACTATCCACGCAATCAGCGGTGCTAGAAGAAATGGGGAGTCAATGGTTTCCCGAATTCAAGAAGACCGACCTCTTCTACAAGTACTTAGCTTCCGACGAAGTCTCTTCGACTTTTACACCTCAGATTGAGCCCAAGGAATTCGTCAGGTCCCCTTTGTGGAGCGAACATGCAGACGCTCGAAATGCTCCTCCTATGACACGGTCGACTTCACACCCCCTCCCCAGACCAAGGGACCTCAGACGAGCAGCCTTGTCATCGAGCGATCTCCGGGCGATTCCTAAGCTGTCCGACGCAACCAGAGATGCTAGAAAGTCGCTAGATACCGACAGGGATCGCTCCGGTCCACTGTTTGATGACGATTATGATACCGACCCTCTCGGCAACTCAATTAGTAGTCTTACCAAAGAATCCCAAGGCAGCGAGCAGAACGGCGATGGCACTGATCAAAGACAAGTGATTGAGAATATGGAAGCTGCACTGAACGAGATAGTCACACAATCTCCTAGAAATGAGCAGACCTCAGACCAGGCGAACAGGCTTTTTGGGTCACCAACTTCAATAGAAAGGTCAGGCTTATTCGACGATGCTCCTGGAGAGTCGCTTGGTGTGCCGCAAGTAGTGTCCTCCAATGGAGAGCGGGTCAGACCCAGCATTGCCTCACTTGGATTAGTCAATACCTCTTCTCGCATTGGAGTCTTCTCAGACGATGATTTGTTCCCTGATGAGGAGAAGTTCATTGAGGATGAGTATGCAGATTCAGAAGACACCAGCAAAGAAGATAGGAAGGACGATGAGATTCACGAGGCTGCACCTGGCGATCTTGGCCTGATCGAGGCTATAGCTGCACTCACTGCGGATATTGAGAGACTCGTCTCGCAGGAGTCGGTCGTCGATACCCTGACACGTAAAGCGGAGCTAACAAACAACGCTGCTGAGCTGCGCATATTGGGCAAGTCCAAGTCGAGCTTACAGAGGGAGATCCGTCGGAAAGAGCTTCAGAAGCAGCAATATATTGTGCAAGAGAGCGATAACAGCTTGTATGGACGTTCAGCGATCAGCATCAAATCAATTATGGTTGGAAAGGAGGAGGATGGCCATGAGTATGCGCTCTATGTGATCGAGGTTGAGCGGAGAGCAGGCGAGCAGATGGCGGCAGCCTCGTGGGTTGTGGCTCGAAGATATAGCGAGTTCCACGATCTTCATCACCGGCTTCGTGCTCGCTATCCATCCGTCCGAGACCTGGACTTTCCTCGACGTCGCGTGGTGATGAAACTGCAAAAGGAGTTCTTGCATAAACGAAGGGTCGCACTGGAAGCATATCTTCGCCAGCTGATCTTGCTACCCGCGGTCTGCCGCAGCCGGGAGCTACGATCCTTCCTCTCGCAACAAGCCATCATTCCACAAGCACAGTCCGCTGCTGATTCTCATGCAAAAGATATTGTGACCCGGATCTACAATTCGGTGACTGATGGCATGGATGATTTCCTCGGCAACATTGCTGTTCTCGACCAGCTATCTGCTGCCGGCCAGAATCTTATCTCTGCCGCTACAACCCAAGTCAGCGCTGCACAAAACAGCACCAATTCTGACGACCCTACAGCCATCGCCGAAGCCGAGGCGGAATTGAGTGCATTCGAGAATCGTGAGCTCGAACCTTTCGTCAAGCCGATCTGTGACATCTTCCTCGAAACTTTTGGCCTTAACAGAGGCAACAGTTGGCTAAGAGGTCGCACCGTGGTTGTTGTTCTCCACCAGCTTCTGGGTGGGACGGTCGAACGCAAAATCCGGGACACCGTCAAAGGTTTTCTACAGGAAGATTCGGTGCTCAAATACATCGAAATGATCAAGGAAACAATGTGGCCGGGCGGCAAGTTGAGGGAACCGAAGCCAAGAACTCCAGCCGAGAAGGCGAAATCAAAGACGGAAGCCAGCGTCATGCTCGCTACACTAATCCCGGATCTGGCTGCCCATGTGGTGGGAAGGGCCAATGCGCAGGCGGCGGCGCGCAGGATCTTTGCTACAATGAACAACGAGAGGTTAAACACGCATCTGGCATTCACGGTACTGGATGAGATCGTGGCGGTGCTTTTTGGCAATGAGACCAGGAGCAGGTGATGGCAGCGCGTGTCAGCTCCAGTCATGTCCCATCACTTGGGCTGGCTGGACAGATTTCACGAACGCGCATCCACAGCGGCACCTCCTGCTGTGCTCAGACATCTATTACCGTTAGCGACGACTAGCAACAAAAGTAGGCGGACGTCGAACCTTCCAATAATACAATTTGGCCCGAAAGAAACCGCCTCGGCTTTTCCCGGACGTACTCTAATCAAGAGCCGCAGGCACCAGAAGCCGTAGTCAGGCTTTAAAATCAAGCGCTCCCATGGCCACAAGTCCCGGCCATCGCTGCCGAGCCTGATGGCGGGTCCCGCGGCTTTTGCAGGTCGGGCGTCTATTTCAGGCACACGAGCGAGCTGGGAGCGTGGTCATGAATCTCCTCCCCCTAACAGGTCTACCGGTAGCAGGAAATTGAACACAGAAGATCGAAGAGTAGAATTGAATGAGATGAAGATGAATTGCTTCCTTCCTTCCTTCCTCTCTTCCTTCCTCTCTTCCTTCCTCTCTTCCTTCCTCTCTTCCTTCCTCTCTTCCTTCCAATCTTCCTTTCTTCCTTCCAATCCTGCCACCTCTACCATCTGAAGTCTATTTCTGAGCTCTACTCTTTTGCTGGGGAATGTCATGAATTTAGCGAGGCGCGTGGAGTACTACTCTATTTGGTGTTGAAGTCATGCTGCCTGACCAGGTCTCTGCGATCTCTTTTGGCCGAGTTGTTTGAAATGGACGCGTGTAGCGTGCAGGCAGTGGCGAACAGAATTGGGGCAAGATACTACACTAGTTAGATGCAGCGTCGTGGTCGTTGATACTATCGTCGTCGTCGTCGTCGTCGTCGTCGTCTATGTAATTCTGTGCAGCCAGTTCTGTTGTTCCTGTCAGCACTTTTGTGAAGCGTCCAAGTCATCCGTCCCCATCTATCAATCTATCTATCTGTCCGTCCAAACCCCCCCCACCCCAGCCATTAGTAGCAATCTGTGAATTCTCCCCATGGCCCCAATCTGACGGGATCAGTCTAGATCAGTCGATGACTCGTGCATCAAGCGATCCATGTCCTCCGTCTTCAGCTGCACCAGCACCTCCAATCCACCCATACCACTACCACTACCACGACCAGCACCATCCTCACCCTGGGCCCACCCTCGTCGATCCCTGGGCAGGATAATACACCCACCGGCATCACGACTCCATGGCTTGCGCACGAAATCCGGTAACCCGAGACCCATACCCAGTCCTATATCACTTTCCTTGCTGTTGCTGCTGCTGCTGCTACCGTTAGTGCTGCTGCTGCCGCCGCCGTTGCTGTTGCTACCACTACTGCTGCCATCACCAGCACCATCACCATTACCGTTACCCTCGTCGTTACCCTCCGGCCCCTCAAAAACAGGCAGCACAGCCCAAGACGTAATGCATAAATCCAACCCGCCCGCCGTATCAAGATTCAGATCCACCATCTCCCTGACACTGTCCACACTCTTCGTCAGCTCCAACACTTCCCTCAGATAATCGTCATTACATTTCGCGATCGCAGCGTGAATCGTAATCGCCGTGGAGAGGAGATATGCCTTGTCAACCATCTTCGACAGACCGTCGGTCTGGAGTTGATGCGTTCCCGTGGGTGTGAGGAGCGAGGTTAGGGGCAGAGTTGCGGGGGCGAGGACGACGGCTCCACCTAGATAGCTGGGTGGCAAAGGTGAGGCGATGCGTTTGCGCACATTGACGGGGATGAGGAGGGTGGATGTTTTCGAGTCTAAGAGGCACTGGGTGGCCGGGAAAGAGGGGATGCGGGCTCGGGTTAGGTGTTGCCAGAGGAGGGATTGGAGGGCGTCGTGGGTGGTTATCCAGGGGATCTGGGGTTCTGAATTTGAATTTTGGAGAAGGGAGTTCAGATCTGCTTTCAGGGTTTGCAGGGTTGCGTCGGAGAAGCGGAAGATGTGGCTCGTTACTTCTGAAGCTGACGGTGCCGGAGCGGGTGACGATGGTGTTTGACCTATGGCGCGGAGAGCGGCTTTGTACTCGGAATGGCTCCCAATGGATTGATTAGTGGGGATGGCTGAGAGAGGCAAGCGGGTAACCGTTTCGGCGCGTGCCTTCTCGGCAAGGTCGACCGCAGTCAGGAGTTTGGTCTCGGAAATGTCGCGACATAACTGGCCTGAGACAATGGTGCCCATACTTGCGCCATCTGTGACCCCGTGATGCAGGAAGATGGCAATGAGCAAGCCGCCGCGGACGATGTTGACAGTGACATCGAGTATGGGCGCGGGCTCCGTGTCCGGTCGTCTGTCCGGACATGAAGAGACGAGAGGTCGCGGAATCTTGCTTGGAGGCATCCCGAGTTCACAGAGCTCATCATACGTGAGCGGACATTTGTCGTGTGGCAACTCCTGCACCTTGACTTGAAAATTCTCTACATCCTTCTGGGAGAAACGGATCTCCAGTTGATGCCTAGGCGAACAGTGCTCTCTCACTGGACACGCATGGCCGGCTAACCATGGTTCAGCTTGGAAAACTCGTCTGAAAAATACCTCGAGTCTTGCTATGGCTACTGTTGCCGGCGTCTCGCCCAAACGGAAAGCCAGACAGAAGCGGGTGTAATGACGTGGCATGCCTTGATCAAGGATGGACAGCGTGATGGTATGTTCGGTGTCCATGTCCATGTCCATGATTGGAGCTTCTTGGCTGTGATGGTGAGAAGGCGCGAGACTCTCTGAAAGTCCCGAATCTGTCGTGTCTGATAGCACACGATCTTTTTGGTTGCTGGCTATCGGCAGTCTGCTCTGTGGTTTTCTGATTGGCTTCATGCAGCGTAAGGAATTCAGAAACTCTGATATAGGCATGATGGGCGTTTGATGTGAAGCGTGTGAATGCTGATAATGTGAAGTGATGATGGAATTGGAGATCGTAAGTTTGTTGGCGAACAGGCCAATCATACATGTTGCTGGTGAATCAATCAACGGTTGAGAATGGTTCCATCGTGACTCGGTATATGAAAGATCTTGACTAAGGCCCATGGGTACTTCGGACCAAGAGTAAGCGCTGAATCCTGGAAGTAAGGCATCAATACTTACACACATAGAGTTACAATCACAGGCAAAGAGGGCCAGGCGGGGGCACGACTGACCACTCACCTAAGACATGCCGATTGATAGACTGCAGATCTCTTTACTCATCCACGAGCACATAGCACAGAGTCCGGAAGGCCATTGCCATTGATGTCCATCGGCTATTTCTTGGGGCCGGCAATTGGTGCCGCTCGATACTGTCTATCGTTGTATATGTCGTACGACGGTTTTTCACCGCCAGTGTGAGAAAGGTCGGTTGCCCATCTACCCGGAGTCGAGGTTGCTGTGCCTCCCATACTATCGCATGTTAGACATACCACTTAGCACTTAGCACGCCAAATGTGACAGGTCACATTTCCGTCGAGGTTTATTTGCAATGACGGCAGGAAAGTGCCCTCGTAGTTGCCCATAATCAGACTGAGATCCAGTCCCAAGTGGGGCGCTTGTTCCTGCTCGAGATCCTTCTAGCCCTGTAGGCGGTAGCTGGGCGTAGGTGGGCGGTAGGAGGGAGGGGGCTGTAGGTGATAACCCCCTTGTGAGACAAGAGAGTTGATAAGTTCAGGGCAGCCACTGATCTAACAGGATCCACACGATAAGCTTCCCGCGGGGGTACGGAATGGTCAACCCTTTTGTCCCACCACAGTCCGCCTCCCCCCGGACCGTGCCTAGGCAGGTAAAGCCTTGGGATAAGAGACTACAGCTATGCCGACCACGGATTAACCCGTGGTTTTGTTCCCTGCAGCGTGTGCCATAGGTTCCGACTTGCTCCCTATCGAGCATGCTCTAGGCAGCAACCTGGAGAAGATGCCGCGTAATCGGTCCTGGTCCCGCCATGGCAGTATTAAGAGTAGAAGCCCGGTAATTAGATGGTCCTATTCCATTCTGCATTTCTCGCCAAAGTCCAAATGTCGTGAGGTGGTTGTTGACTGCCCCAGTTAAGCGAGGCTGATAAGAGCATAGTATGCAGCAACTAGGATTGACATGTCGACCGCCTCACCTATCAGACGTACGGGTACCGCACCATTCATCGTATGACTCTTAGGACCTTTGGACTGCATACTGCTCCTCCCAACGGAATACGAGTAGCATTGGGAACATTCCGAATGGTACACTGTGGGTGTGACGGGGAGATAAATGATGTCTGGGTGCTTCAGACAGGCACCAACTGTAGATCCTGGATCCTTCAGCTTGTTGTGGCGCGATAATGAGAAAGCAGTCGTGTTTCAAGATTTCTTATATAATGTCGCCGACCTGCAGGACAGGATGCCGCAAAGGACTGCAGCAATTAACTGCAGTAGTCTACCAAGCTTTTCCCTGTCATCCCTGCACACGTGGTTGCTCCAATATCTGCTAGGGGACCAAAAGACACTGAAAGCGTGCTGGGCGATATTTGTGATTTGTCACATCCTGACAAGCAATCTGCGACCGCAGATACAACCTAGACCTCGGAATGTGAAGGCATGTGTGCTTTGAGCTTACTGCGACCGCTAGTGGTGGCCATGGATATCCGAATGGGAAATACATCGTGAAGTCTAGAGAGTTACCATCACCTATGATTTGACGTAAAATGGCAACGTGTTTTGTTCAGTGGACCCGCCATAAGGATCGGCTAGGCAATAGTGGCCACGCTTGCGCCGCCCATTGATAAGCCTCTAGGCCGGTGGACGCCGATCTGTTGCGCTGAATCCCCAACTGTCTGCCATGAAGTGGAAGGGGAAGGGGATGAACAACCGCGGAACAACCGAGGACGAAAGAGAGCGGATTGATTGGCCATTGACACTGCGCAGTCAGCCACAAACGTATGGTGTCGAGAAGCGCCCCAACGTTGGCCTTTGTCCTTCAACGCTAGTGCTCTGGGGTAATCATACCCATGAACGCACGGTGGCACCCAAGCAGGGTTGGACGTATCACAACATCGAGTGTCGAATTTGTCGACAGCAGTGTCGAGGCCAAGCAGAAGATCCTTCTTACGCATTCTTGGAATGTGTTTCCTGCCGCTCCAAGCCCCCACGCCAGATCTTGCCTTGAACTTGTTCTGGGCATGGAGATACACGATTGGGGTCTCGCAGTGCAATGTACGTTTCGAGGTGAAGGTCATCTGTCATTGAATTGCATCAAATGAAGTTAGGTCAGAGGATCTAGATCTCCGTGCCATTCTATCTTCGCTGCTGGTGTTGTTCACCACGTGGGTAGCCGCAGCTGGATGTCGCACAACCTGCAGGACCCGAAATAGCCTGCCGGAAATGTCAATGGATTGCTGAAGAAGCACAAACATGCAGCACACTCACATTAGACCGCAATCAGAGGACGGCACAGCAGCAACCCTGTCTATGGCTTGCTCTTCTGCCGCGAATGTTTCCCTAGGAGAGGTTTCATTGGAACAATCCTGATAAAGATATGCAGCGCCGGTGCAATGTCAGGCCGAAGGAGCTCGGACGGTAGACGCAGTACTTTTGCCCCAGAATGGGTTCTAGCTTCAAGCACGGTGCATCACAGTGCAGATGTCTGCTATCTTCTGCACAGGCAACCCTGCCCTCGCAGTAGCTACTGGGGCCATTGAAGCAGCCGAAATGAACAAAGGCCGGCCCAACGATCGTGTATGACGACAAGAATGTGTTGCTATATTCTTCTCCTTGATCTAGCGTTTTAGAGTCTACAGAGCAGCGACGCCGGGTGACCACGTTCTACCAATTCTTTGAACTTCCTTGAGAAATTTGGAGCTGGTAATCTCGGCCGAGCGACCCTCAGTATTGGCAAGAGCCATTGGCGTCTGGTCATCTGGCGAATAGAAGGGGTTCTGGAGGAGCCGAACGTATGCAGTCTGCAGGGCGCGGAATGCCTAAATCAGAAAGACATGAGAGGGATCTGCTATCTTGGTGCCTTCTCACATACAGGCTTCAAATCTGAATCCCGCAGGCCGAGCACAGGTGCCGCTCTTTTCCTGTCATCGTCGTCCGGTGCCGATGGTCTCCCAGCCATATCCACCACGACGATGAATTTGATGCCAGTGTTGGTAAGCCAACCATAGGTTGCTAAACGCTCGTCAATGGCTTGGAGCAGGCCGAGATCTTGTTCGATGGTCTTGTTGTTCTGGCGAATCTCAAAGATGTCAAGACAGGCATTCAGGAGAAAAGACATTTCCAACATCTCGTCTTCATGGGGTGGGAATAAGGAAACACGGAGAGGGTTGTCCTAGGCATGTCAGCTTGTCGCCTCATAGAAGACTGGTTGGGGCAGGTTAGCGGACATATCTCCCTATGACACCAATGCATGCTATGGCCGGAGAAGGCATCGTTGTGGCAAGTCAATCACTGATCTTTCTCGTGAACTTCTGGGGCGGTGTCATATGGAGTACTTTGTGCTCAGCTTACTCCAAAATTTAGTTAAGTTGGTTACGAGGCCCGGGGAAAGGTTTCATGTTGCCCTTGGCATTCCGCATACTCTAAACTTTCTTGTAAATATCATCCAAAGTAAGTGCTTGAATTTGAACTACTAAAGAATGGATTCTCCTTTTTCTCCAGTAACTACCGCATCCTACCACTACCAGGCATACTACGTATGCATTTATGAATTATTTGAGCAGTAACTTGTGTTGCATGTAGATGCGATGGGGGGACATGCCAAGAGCGACACCAAAATTCTCTCCCCGGGCCCTCGTTACATAGCCAATCAAATCAGCTTATAATGCGACTTGCAAATGGAGAAGCCGACTGTCATCATCCACTCCGCATTTCGAAACTATCCATTTATCACAAAGAAGTCAGCCTCCGCCCTTCAACCTCCTCACTATTCACCGTTTCTCTAGTCATCTTATCTCGACTGCACATACAAGTCTGCATCCAAGATGTTCTCACTTTCTCGCACAATAGCCCCACGGACGCTGAGAGGTACACCCGCCACCCAGTTCCACAATTCCCCATTGATTTGATTGACTGAGACTGGCTGGCTGACCGACCGACTGCAACCCAGCCACATCCGCCATCCCACTCACCATCTTCCGCGCTGCTCCTGCTGCTTCGATCACGACCTCTCCCTCAAAATCGGCTACATCTCTCGAACCCAAGACCGCCAGCAATGACTCCAGCCGGCTCCCCGTTACCGGTGGCATTCGCCGCGAGGTGCCCCTCCCATCACAGGAGAAGAAAGAGGGCGCGATGCAATACGCCCTGACGACCCTCGACCAGATAACCAACTGGGCACGACAAGGCTCCCTCTGGCCCATGACTTTCGGTCTTGCCTGCTGCGCCGTCGAGATGATGCACCTGTCAACACCGCGATACGACCAAGACCGACTGGGTATCATCTTCCGCGCCAGTCCCAGACAGAGCGATGTCATGATTGTGGCGGGGACCCTGACGAATAAGATGGCGCCTGCTTTGAGACAGGTTTATGATCAGATGCCGGATCCGAGATGGGTGATTAGTATGGGAAGTTGCGCCAATGGTGGCGGCTATTATCATTACAGTTATTCCGTTACGAGAGGTTGTGACAGAATCGTGCCGGTCGATATCTATGTGCCTGGATGTGAGCGCGCAACCTTCAGACCACGGCGACATTAGCTAACTTGCCCCAGGCCCGCCCACATCCGAAGCTCTGATGTATGGTATCTTCCAGCTACAGAAGAAGATGAGGCATACCAAGATCACGAGGATGTGGTACAGGAAGTAGTCGCGCTCAACCGTACAGATTCATCTTTCCGGACGACGACCTCATCAGCAAAGACGGAGTTAGGCGTCCAGAGATAGCGGTTATGATATACTCCAATGTATATATTCGAAACTGGTCATGTCTTACCGCAAGGATTTTCTTCTGTCTGCAAATCAACACACTTCATCCGGCCAAGGCGGATCCTCCCTCCTTCTCCAAACACTGACAAACTTTCTCCCTCCATGCCTACTCACCTTCTTTCCTTCCTCCGTCTCCTCCCTCATAACCTCAACACACGGATCACTCTGCAAGTCCTGTTCGGATACCCTTTCCCACAACTCCTCCACCCCCTTTGTTTTATCTGCCCCATTCCCTCCCACCGTCTCTTCTCCATCATCCCCCTCTTCTTCCCCATCCACCTTCCTCCCACTAAAATGCCCTACAATCCATCCGGCCAACTCCTCCACATCCGTAATCGTATACACGCAACCGCCTGGGCGGACGACGAAGGCATATTCCGCATTCAGCTGCGCGCTGACGATGCGGGCTTTGTGTTTCCGCGCTTTGAAATGCGGGTCCGGGAAGCAGAGGAAGAGGTGAGATAGTTGGTGGCGGTGGAAGTAGTTGGGGAGGTGCTTCATGGTATTTGTGCGGAGGGCGGAGATATTCTGAAGAGGACCAGGTGGGAAGGAGGAGGAGGGGGGGGACGGGGAAGGAAGACTTGAAGGGTCGGTGGATGGTTGTTGGGTCTGTGATTGCGGTTGCGGTTGGTGTTGAGAGCGGAGGGCTAGGATGCGGTTTGTGACGTAGCTGAGGACTTGGGTGCGGAGTTCCATGCCTGTTCATCGTCAGTGAGATGCTTAGACGTGATTATTATGACCGAGTCTAGGGCTCATACGCCTGCATAAGACTGCAGGAAGCCGGAGAGGACATACCTATCATGAGCGTATCCGGGAACAGCGGACTGAGTGCGATGAGCAGGCCACCAAAACCACAGCCGACATCCGCTATCTCGACCTGTTTGCTCATCCGTCGAGGCTGTCCGGCTTCCATATCTTGATCTGGACAGACGAATGCTGGGTAATGTGTAGACCAGTCCATCTGGGAGGGACTTGTTGGACTTTTTTCCGAGATTGAAATCGTCAGCAACGAGGAGATCCAAAGGCGTGACAGAGAAAGTCTGTGCTACTCTTGCAGATATATGGGATACAACACCCGAAATTCTTCAAAGACCCATCTCAGATTACGCAAATGCTGACGCCTCTACGTATCAGACACCAAAAACTCTCCTTTTTTTTCTTCTCATGGCATTCCTGAGCACCAGCACAACATAACACAACACCAGGATACCAAGACTTACTACGTGAGATTATGGTCCGAGAACGGATTGGCATGAGCTCGTTGCCGGTAGAATCTCTTCTGGGGCAGCTCGATCTGACCTCCATGGTTGGCTGCTTGCTGTGCTTTCTGGTAGTCTTCTCGCCTTTGACGCTTGTTGGGGGGGCCTGTCATCTCAAGGACAGGAATAATCTCTCTTCAACTTAGGTGAGTAAAAGGCAGAGAATGAGTATCATTTTAAGGGCTATAATGGTTCTGAGGGTTGTGGTGGAGGATTGCAAGTAAATATTTACGATTGCTACTTCGAGGCTTGTAGATAAGGTGCACATTTTGGTATAGGGAATTAGTACTCTCTGCAGCAGCAAGAGACGCCGATTTGGATTACGGTGCCTATTTCTTCGATGTCTGTCTGGCTGGTCATATCCTGTTTTGACATAAGGTCATATACTTACTGCAATCTGCAATCTTTAGCTGGCAAGAACCACAATCCTGACTCTCCTTTTGCCTTTCTCACGAGCACCAGTCTTCTCCTCCGAGCTCACTCGAACATTCAACTTCTGGAAAAGCTCTACAGAGACTGCTTTGTCCTCTCTGCCCTTCTCCAACACTTTCAACCGGTAATTCTCGACTTCAAACTCACTTTCTCTTCTTCCTTCTCCTGCGCCTTTCAATTCAAAGTCGTCCAACCTCACTAACCCCTCCACGCCGAACCTAGGAACGAACACGACAGCTCCGTTCTCGAAGATCCTTATGACATACCCTTCAACGTTGATGCCAGAGTCGGGTGTTGTCTCTCCTCTCGCTTTTAGCGCTTGACCAACATAAAATTCTATGCTTGCTCTTCCTGCCATTTGAGCATTTCGATGCCGGAAATTGAGGTTCTTGCAGACGCCTTCCAGTTTACTCTTATTGCGCAGCCCTTCGTCAACGTACTCACTTCCCTGCCCTGAATAGCCAATTGCATATGCAAGCTGTCGATGTACGAGTAAATCTGCGTATCTTCGGATCGGAGAAGTGAAGTGTGTATAGATCTCACTAGCGAGACCGTAATGCCGGTACTCTGGTTCGGCATGCGAACCACTGCAGAAGTATTCAGCGGAGGTCATACACCGTGTGGCCATAATTCGAATCAGCGTGTTCAAGAAGGGATTGGCGGGATCCACGCATTTGTCCAACGAGTCAGCGAGTGCTTTCGAGCTTGATACATCCAGCTCAAAGCCCTTCATACGTTTCAACTGCTCGTTGAGGTCGGCGAAGTTCGACGCGGGTGGTGCAGCATGTCTTCGAAGCAGGGCTGTTTGCGGAAAGGATGACTGGATCTTCTTAGCCACCGTGGTGTTCGCCAGGAGCATGAATTCCTCGACGAGGGAATTGGTAGCCAAAGAAGCCTTGGTCTTGACATCTGTCAGAGCGTCAGATGTTTCGCTATCCGTCTCAATTCGGACCTCTGGGCTGGAGAGATTGAGCGCGCCAGCCTCCATTCTCTTCTCGCGTAATTTCTGAGACAGTGACAGTAAAGTTCGCATGCTCTGTGTCAGGTCGTCTGACGCGTTTCTATCATCAATACGCATCTGAGCTTGCTCGTATGAGAAGGCATCGCGGGATAGAATCACCGATTTGGTGAAAGAAGCCGACACTATTTCAGCGTCTGGCGTGATCTCCCATATTGTCGAGAATGCATACCGCTCAATATGGGGTTTGAGAGAGCAGAGATCCGTTCCCAGCAGCATGGGTAACATGTCGATACGCTTGTCCACAAGGTATACTGTGGTACCCCGAGCAGTTGCTTCTTCGTCCATTGCATTGTTTGGTTTGACAAAGTGTGAAACATCTGCTATGTGAACACCAACTTCATAGTTACCATTTGGTAATGGCCGAGCATGCAGAGCGTCATCGATATCCTGGCAACCAGGGGGGTCGATTGAGCAGACAAGTAAACCTCGTAGATCCTTTCTTCCCATCCAACCGGGATCGGAGGAAGAGGCAGGTACTCTCCACCCATGACCTTCTACTGGCAGGCAATCCAGAACGGTTTTCGGGAAAGGACGATATTGCACGTCGTATTCAAGAAGTAGAGCTTCTGTCTCTGCACCTTTTGTCTCCAGGTCACCCAATGACCGAACGTAATGTCCAACTGGATATCTGGTATCTCTATCCCACGAATCAATAGTGGCGACGACCCTTTTTCCAACGAGTTCGTCTGCCTGTCGTGTCCGGATCCGAATTTTAGGTATCCTCTTGTCCATCGGCACCAAGAAGACTGTCTGTTGCTTCCTACCTTGAGACGCAGATGAGCCCGTTGAGCCAGGATCTACTGTGCCGACATATTGTCTCCAGTTACGCTTCATCACTCCGACAACTCGCGCTGTGGGCTGAGATCTAGCCTCGGTGGGCGCCCCATGAGCTTTCTTGACTTCCTCCTGTAGGGCTCTTCTCTCCTTTTCTGTAATCACTGCCTCTGTCTCTTCAACCTCTGGATTATCGTTCTGGTTCAATGTCTCCTCCTCGATAATCTTAGACGATGGTGCTTTCCACTGTTCTTTTGGAAGGACTTCAACGACTATTGAGTCACCTGAGATGGCTCGGTTGCTGCTCTCCCTGCCGATAATGATTAGAGGCCTGTCAAAGGCTGCGACCTGAACTGTGCCCTCCAAGTAGTTGTATGGAGATACGTGAAAGATTCCTTGGTGCAGCACACCAGCCTTGAGACCCGTCAAGATCTTTGAATTTGAGTAATATTCCGGGTAAATCAGCTCCCCGGGTTGTGGTCTATCTTGTTGACCCTGTCGTGCCTCACTGATCATGTCCAGCAGCCTATCTGCATTTTCGAGAAATGACACGTAATCTCTTAGAGAATACGCAGTAACACCGCCGGCCTTGGCCTTTTGCAAATTTGCTTGATCATCAGTGAGTAGAACAACAGCAGGGCATTTCTTCCGAGGCAGGTGTTCTGAGTACCACTTTGCTGCTCTTACCACTGCTCGGTCGTTTCGATCGTTAATGCTCTCCCCTTCGTTTCGACGGATATAAGTTTCGAGTCGAAATTCGTTGAAGAACACATAGAATCGCTTTTCTTCACTTCTAGTGAGAGCCATGGTACGATTATAAAGAGGTAATGATCGATTCTTCAGTTCCTCAAGAACTGTCTTAAGGACAATAACGTCGTAGAAAGCACCTGACTCCTCAAAAAGATCCATACCGTTCATGAATGCATTTGTGTCCGGTACCAGGTAATGTCCGGTAGGAAAGGCCTTGGTGCCAGCAGGACGGCTGGACAATATTGGTTTTGGTACTTCGAATGGTCATTAGCATGTGGAACGCGAGGGAGATCTATTGAAATCCTCACTCGGTACTTACCATTGCCGTTCGCATCTGCTGGTGCTATCGATGGACATAGTGGACACAGTTTTGACGAGCAGGGAATATCGCTGCGTAGATAGATTTCACTGACAACTTTTTGTAATTTGCCACTTTTGGTCGATCTTACAAAGGTTTTGCTGGAGATGGTGTTGCTTTGTGAGTCTGACTTAAAATTGCGTTTCAAGCTCTTCATTATTGCGAAGGGAGTGTAATCGATATGAATGGCAACGAAACACTTCGTATTGTGTTCAGTTGTTCTGTTGAGGTGTGTTGTGATTGAGGGTGGGTAGTCAAATGGGAAACAACATGACATCTGACCAGGAGGATGACCACCACGATTGTTACAAGGAGAAATAATCGAAAGAAGACTTTCTAGGGAATAGGTGCGTTGTGTAAGACGACGTATAAATTGAATTGGCTCAAACTTTGCGGTACAGCCCCGACAATAATATCAATAGGAGAGCCCAACACAATAGGCTTTGTGTTATATTGTGCTCCTCAGTATCAAAGCGTACAAACTACACTCGAAGTGCTAGATGCATGGAGGAGCAGGCCTTTTGTGTTTACGATATAATCGACGTTCATACAACCTTCGTGACTAACATCCTGCGGACGAGATCCCTCCATCTCCACCCATTCTTACTGACAGCGTCGACTTGTCCGGGCCCAGACGTGGGAACGCCTTCCTGAACCCTCTTCTCTATTTGTCGTAACCTGGCCTCATCAACTCCAAGTGCCTCCAGATTTCTTTCCAACTCCTCCAGCTGACCAACTTTCCAGCCACGTACGATCCACAAGCAGAGTGCTCCTCCAAAGTACATCATTGCAACGAAGATCTGCGCGCTAATATATACATTTGTGCTTCTTTCTTTCCGTAGCTCAAGAGCAATCGGCTCTGCCAGTGTTGTTGGTGGTACCATCACTACCCAAGTGATGCTGAGGGCAGCTGGTAGATCTGGCAAACCAACAATTTCGGCTCCAACAGGACCGATAGTGGCCCAGAAGGTACCGCTGAGTGCGCCGCCCACGATTGCAAAGAAAGATAAGAGGCCGGCACCCCTAGCAGGGATCCAGAAGGCAAAGCAAAAAATGCTGCAGAGCAAAGTAAGGAAGGATGCTACGTTGAGACGTCCGTATCGATCTGAAATGACACCCATCACAGGCCGACCAAGCATTTGGCCAAGGTTCATAAGAGCCCCAATTATGGATCCTTGTTTTGCGGACAAACCAATGCTAGCGGCAAAGTTTGGAAGAGAAAAGAGCAATGCAGTGTATCCAAGCATTGAACATATCGACCACCCTTGCAAGAGCACGAATTCTGGCCTTTTCAAGAGTTGAATGTCGAAAGCCTTATGACGAGCTCCAACAGCCTTGTTGCGATCTCGTAGGAGATTGGAGCAGATGAGATTCACGAAACAGGAAACGAGACCCAGAATCCGGAACGCCCAGGCTAAACCTAATGTATCGATAATTCGTTGCGTAGCAAGTGAGTAGGTCAAGCCGCCAAACCCTGAGCCAGCGGCCGCCATTGCATTAGCCAGACTCCTCTTCTTCGTGAACCATTGAGGGATGATTCCGACTGAGCCAACGAAGAGGAATCCCATACCCCAGCCGAAACATACTCCTTGGGCTAAGATGATCTGATATTTCTGGTGGGTAAAGGATGCGCCGATGAGTGATAACGTCTGGAAGAACACCCCAAGGTGGAGGCAAATGCGAGTACCGTAGGAATGAACCACACGTGTTGCTAGTGGTGCTATAAGAACAGCTTGAGAGATGGACAAACCTCCGATAAAAGCGTAGGCAAGCGGAGATGTATTTGGGAAGGTATTCTGAGTAAGGTAATGCGAAAGGAAGACACCATATGACTGGCCTTATTCGTTAGCAGACGGTGGCGGCATGGTTGAGGAGGCTTACTAACGCTGTTTATGCCCCAGGTATGGGCATTGATGAAGAAATTGCAACCAGTACACACCCATCCATAGCCACCATCTGGTGGTACATCCTCAGGTTTCTCTGAAGCTTCATCCGCAGGCTGCTCCAGTTCGACATTCACAGATGAAGCATCGGATCTATGCAGTCCGTGTCTACTCGAAACATAATGTTCAAGACCAGGGCTGCGGTTGATGCTGGGCATTATCTGGCAAGGAATTGCACCCAAGTTGTGAAATTGACTGGCACAGCAGATGCAAAGACCAGTAGATACATTCTGCTTGATTGAAGGAGAGTGAGACAGACGGAAGGAAAGCCGCACTTACTAGAGAGAGTGGAGCTGCGCCCTTCGCGCCTTGAGCTCGATCATTATTATTCAGCGTGCAAACGAACACTGTGGAGAGGGGGAAGATATGTCATGACCTCGCAATTTTTGGAGATTTTGTGGAGTAGGATGCTGTTAGTTGCCGAGGCCGAAAATGCCCCATGGCAAAATGAGAGGGAGAGTGTCACCAGCATTTTGCGCCATGCATTGCCTCATCATTTTTGCTGCCTACTTCCAGCTCCGTGCCGACATGCAAATGGCCGCCCAGCTAGGTTAGCTGACCTTGTTGCAGCCCGTCAATCGCAGTAAGTCACGAGCATGGCCCGTTGCCGAGTTGTTGTTCTGCTTGGACACTGCCAGTGCCACAGTGCCATACGCTACAATGCAGACCCATCCTGTATTCAGGAGGAATGGCTTATTGATATTTGGTAGGACGATAAGAATCGTGAGCAAAGAGATTCGAAGTGGTTTCTGACCCACAGGGCGGCCGCTTGGACGGGCTGCCACAGCAACAAGCGGTCTTTACCCGCCAGCCAGAATATTCAATTCGAATGTTTCGGCTGGCCCTGTATTTCATGCTTTCTCTAATCCTCATCTCTTATACACTTTCAGATTTATTTCCTTCTAATTTTGACTGGGCAAATCTACTTTTCTGCATTGGTGCATTGGTGTTAGTGTTATTTACTGATCTCAGAGCGGTATTGCTGACAAGAAGGTGAAATCTATTTTGGTATCTATCATTGGTCAGAATGCTTCAGAAGATGAGGAGCAGCAGGGACGTCAGACGAAAAGTCTCACCGCCTCAACCTGTGTTCATGAGTGATGATCAGAAATGTGAGGCCCCCTCATTTAATAACAGTGTCCAGTCTAGCCAATGTCTTCGTGCTCTTACAACACTTGCGGACCGTCTACACACTGCTCAGCGCTTACTTTTCTAGCTGACTATCTTTCAACCCTTCGAAACAATCGTCCAGCACGTCCCGTTGGATCCCGTCCTCTTCCATCTAAGGCTGGCACAACTCCTCGGCTCAGCAGAGATGACCCCCCTCTTCCCGCAGAATCTGCTCTTGCTTTCCAACCACATGACGTTGCATCCGCGGCTGCTCTCCCTGTTATAGATACGCCTCCACGATGCACAAGCGCTCTGTCCTCCTACCCAGCAGGTGGCTCACCAGCTTTTGCTGAAACGTCGGTTCGATCAAGGACGACAGTGGGCAGACCTCTTGCAGCAGATCCGGAACAGAAGTCATATTCAATACGTGGAAGAAAGCTCTCGCCCAGCGCAGTTATACAACCTCCTATAAGGTCTTCAAGTGGGAACTATCGTGAATCAGGATCAAGATGGATGGAGCGGCAGGAGGCGATCTCGCTTCGTGAAGCTCTAGAAGAAATGGACCTCCAGAGCGAAGAAAAGAAAATACATGCTGCAGCCCAAGATGAAGCAGCAGAACTGGTCTGGCGGCATCGCAACCCCAACGCAGCAGAATCAGAGGCCAATGCTGCTTATGCGAATCCTGACATTCGTCGCAATGGAAGACACAGATTTACAGCGCACCTGCAAAAAGGCGCCTACTCTCGAAGTCAATCCGTTACTCATGTCGACAGAAGAGCAGCTCTCCCAACATCAGGATCCTTGGGGTCAACGTCAAGTAGCTCAAGGTATTCCCTTGGGGACAATAACAACGCGAGCATGCCATGCACAAAGCCAAGTGAGAATAAGTTGATGGTACAAGATGAAAGTGGTATGATCAGGCCACCGGTCAAGCCCAATGGGCGAAAGAGTAGCGGCCAAAGGAATATCAGCAATGGGTCGAGCAAGGATGGCTTTCCGTACCCAGGTGATCAGATATACGAGGACACAGAGGGCGTCTCAACGCAAAACGAGAAGGCTGCCACAATTGTATTCGCTGCTCCGGGCCCACTCAGATCAACGAACCGGAACGCTCCACTGCACGGTTCACGGCCGCTTCCAGGATGCCCAGTTGTGATCGATGCAGAAAAGAGCAAATCTGTGGATCGCTTCGAAATCCACAAAAATCCACCCTCGCAATCGCGTAGCGCTGGTTATATTAAGAACACCATACCTCCTTCTGTCGATGTCATCCCGGAAGCCCAAACACCGCCAAGCAAAAATGGCATTGAAATTCGAGGCGAAGACATCCGTGCTGCCACCAGCATGAAACTCAAGGATCGAAGCCCGAAACTGCCACTTCCTACAGCAGTCAGTGACCGCCCTGGACGACCCATTGTGAGCTTTGATCCAGGCTGGAAACCCGAAAGTGCAGCAAAAGAGGACACTGTAGAAGCCGAGCGACCTGGCCCCCGACCCACCGCTACAATACAAGCGATGACTGTATCAGCACCTGCTGTCCCCACAATCAATGTTTCTGGCATGGAGGAACCCTCATGCCCGACTATCGTTTTACCAGATGATGACCCTATTCCTGCTATCACTGTAGGCACAAATGGACTGTCTTCAAGCACTGTGGCAGCTCCATCTTCTACTAGTCGGCCCTTGCCTCAGCCTTCGAAAACTACGCCCGGGAAAATATCCACAGCAAAGGAGTCATCTCGATTGCCTTGGCTAAACCCTTCCTCCCGTGCCGGCGTCCCTACCGCTACATGTGCAAATTGCGCTCTCCCAATCTCTGGTCGCATCGTGACTGCTTCAGGCGCAGGGACCTCCGCTACCTCGCTCAAGGCACGCTTCCATCCAGAATGCTTCACCTGTTACCATTGCTCCACAGCGCTTGAGTGTGTTGCCTTCTACCCAGAGCCCGAGGACAAACGAGTGAAACGCCTCGAAGCTGACGGCATCACGGACAAGGATGTTGAAAGTGAATTGAGATTCTACTGCCACCTCGATTTCCACGAGTTCTACAGCCCTCGCTGCAAAAGCTGTAAGACGCCTATCGAAGGAGAGGTGATCGTCGCAGCTGGCGCTGAATGGCATGTTGGGCATTTCTTCTGTTCTGAATGTGGTGATCCTTTTGATTCCAACACCCCATTCGTGGAGAAAGATAACTATGCTTACTGTGTCTCTTGTCATACCCGGCGTACTTCAGCACGATGTAGAGCTTGCAAAAGGCAGATCTTGGACGAAATGACGATTCAAGCTCTGGGTGGGCAGTGGCATGCTGACTGCTTCAACTGCTATGAATGTGGTGGAGGCTTTGGTGATGATGGCAGATTCTTTGTCCGAGACGTGACTGTTGAAGGGACGGAGAAGGAGAAGCGGAGAGGAATAACTACGAAGACAGAAGAGAGAGCCGTTTGTGAAGCCTGCGAGGGGCGCAGACTGAAGGCGTGACATTGATAGAGTTTTGTTAGCCTCTGGAATTTCACTGAAGGGAGCATTGCAACATTGGAAGCACAGCCAATATTGCGTCCTGCAAAGGCTGGTTTTGTCGTTTCCAATCCTTTTCATTCTGCTATTCTTTTACCATGGATCACCGTCAAAGGGATGAACCATTGAGCGATTGTAAGCCAGTAAGCTTTTGCACAGCTCTAACCAAGCTCGAATTGTTAACATTGACACAGCTACAGTTATAGATTTGAAGAAAAAGATTGTTGGTGTGCATCCACAAGTTGTCCGTCAACCACAACTGTGACATGGCACACATCATCCTCTGTGATGAAAATCGCTCCTCGGATTTATTCTTCTTAAAGCTGTCCGCAGGGTGGATGTAAGCACTGCCCATATCTTCTGATCTTGTTCCCTCAGTCCCTCAGACGTGTGATGGGCTTAGTCACCTAGATGAAGCCCACACTGTGCCTTAGGCCATCTTCCAGATATGCAGAAGCCGCCTTGACGGATCAGTTACAAGGAGAATGGGGACGAATAAAAGATCAGGAGGGTTCAGCCTCTGTCACAGAGTGAATTTCTACTCGACAGGATCCAGGTCTTTTTGTGTCACAATTCATGATATTGTTTTGTATGCACACTTAATAGACCATTTTGGAATTGATTTTGTCGCTTGGCTCTTAGATGCTGGTTGATCGAGGCCACTGTCTTGTGAAACTTTGCATGTGTGCCAGGACTCACAAAGCTTGTCGAGCAAATGTGAACTGACTTGTTGGTAGTTCAACAGCCATCTTTACCTTATTCCTGCAGATTCCGAGGGAATGCCTTGTTTTTATAAAAGGAAACATGGACAAGAAAACATGGACAAGAAAACATGGACAAGAAAACATGGACAAGAAAACATGGACAAGAAAACATGGGGAGTGCAATGCGATATGTGATCTCACGGTTAACAGCGGCGTTCACCACGGAGCATACAGGATAGTGATCCAGGCCACTTGCGTCTTACTATTGATCTCCTGTCACTCTTAAGCCTCTTTGGCAGCTTCGTTCACGAAGACAGACAATCTTCGCCGGAATCTTCTGCGACAGCCTGCCGCTCACAGGAGACTTGCCTATCTCATTTCCCTGTCATTCTCCACTTCCTTTGCTGCTGTGTATCTTATCAGCACATGGTGCTTTCCACCACTGCTTCGCAACCACTATGGCCTCCGCTGCGGCAGCTGTGGAACTGATGTGCTTGCCCACCGAGATCCTCGAAATGATCTTTCCTCTTGCACTTGCATCAAAGAATGGGGCTGATCTCAAGCGACTCCGTTTGATGAACCAGCGACTTGCACTCTTCGTCGAACCCCGCCTGTTTCGATGGATCTGCCTCTCCACAGTAGGAGAGAACTTCGAGGCGTGGAAAAGTATTGCCCAACCGGGTAGTCGGCTCCGTCATTATGTTGAGCATGTCTGTATCGACTGCACCACGTTCATTCCGCACATTAGTAGATGGTTCTACTGTAAATATTTGGCGCAGCATCTCAAGGAAAACCCAGGTAAAATACACCCACGTCAACATGGTAAGGGAGCACGACGCGGCGACGACGATTCAGATGCAGCAATATACACGCCAATGAATCTTTTTTCCGACCTGACTTCCGGCGAGAGAGCGACGACACTACTGCCTGGCGATAGAAAGCTGTTGCAGAGGGGTTACAAGGAGTATTTGCTGCTCGCTGAATCTCAGGATCAGATTCGTTCTTCTTCTCGTCTCTACGAAGCACTTGTTAGAGGACTTCCATCCTTACCGCGCGTCCAGGCATTCTCCTTCATGAGTAAATGGCACGTGGACATGAAGTTTGCCAGGAAACAACATGAACCAGAAGGAATCGATATCGAGTCAGAGGGTAGTTTGAACTTGCCTGGTCCTTTGGCTCGGCAGCATCCGCCGCTTCGACTTCCACCACAAAGCACAAGAACCTGGTCTGGGATACATGGTATTCCTCTCCTTAAAGAATACTTCGTCGTGGTGCTGAGAGCTGTTCGGAAGCTCGATCTGGACCTGCGAACCCTGAATGGCCCAGGTCCTAACCAATCTTGCCTCGTCTCGAAACCACATCTCGAATCACTCGATCCTGTTCGCGATATCGGACTGCCGATAGAAACATTCGCTCCGGCGGTGCAAGCCAAGCACTCGGTCGAGTTGAGAAAACTAGTCACAGGAAGTTCGAGCGCTTTGCACAAACTCCGGAAACTTGAGCTTTCTGTCAGCGCACCCCTGCAGGGTGGAGAAAGATACCCACACGGTACTGCCTATTCAGCGACCCCAGGTCATCTGCCAGGTTTGCTCCGCTCGATGCCTGACACAGAGGAATTAGCGCTGCGACAGCATCGATATATTGGTAAGGATAACGGCGTCGCGAATCTGAACGATGTCTTTGGCATCCGTGAATCAGTCGTCCACCGCAGTATAATCACCAACTCCAAAACACCCCCCGAATTCCACTATCATTTCTGGGGACAGGATATACTGGGTGTTTGGCAAGTGCCGTTCTTGCCCAAACTCAGACACCTAGAGCTATCCGGATTCGAGGTGAGAAGAGGAGGCCTGAACTCACTGTTGAGCCGCATGGCTTCTACACTAGAAACAGTGAAGCTCCACGACATCCGCCTCACTAATACGGTATTCGGGTGGTCGTTTGTCTTGCACGATCTGCGCCAAGTCTTCTGCAAGAGATCTCCCACCCTCGAGCTCTCACTCGGTTTTCCCAAGTCAGAGTACGTTGCGCTGCTTCTCGGCTACCATGTGATCCCTGATAAAGCTTCTGAGGAGACCTCATCAGACGAGAGGATGAGAAGTGGCTTTCGGAGGATCGAGAGATGCATCACATTAGAGGTAGAAAGACAGACCTTTCGTGAATGGCTTGCTCCTCTGAGGGCTTGAGATGGTGCTGCTCGAGTGGATATTCTTCAGTATGATCGGCAAGCGGGTGTTGAGACGCGAGAGAAGGGTGCTGTCAGGATATGTTCAATCCATGATCTAGGCCTTGGGAGGAGTAGTATGGTTCTTCATCCAGAGTTTGTGGCACAGAGTTGATTGGACATTGGTTATGGCTGTGTAGTGCAATGACTAATTTATCGGCCAAATGCACCCCTAGGCTAGTTGAAGACGTCCAGAAAGGTTTAGTATAGTAGAAAAATTGAGAGAGCTTAGGAGGCATTTCGATGACTTCATTGCTGTATCCCTTATACGGAGTAATAGAGATTGAGACTGAAAGACTGAAGGAGACGTGCGAATTGAGCATCGTTTGATGGTGCGTTCCCCATTTTTTTAAATCGAAGTTGTAATTTATATATCATGTTCTCCATGAAGCAAGTCGCGCTGAAAGTGATCTAATCCTGATGTAGCAAAGATCCCGTCTCTTCCTCTCTTGATACGTGTTAAGGATGTCTTTCTCTCCTCCCTCTTCCTTTCTTGATATCTCACAATACTTCTAATTCTCGAAAAGATTGAAAAATAGTTCATCCTGTAGTATGAATCCATGGTCAAGCTTAATTGATCAACTGAAAAGTGCGGTAAGCTTAAATCGTTCTTTCGAGGTTGCATATGAGGCCCTGAGCTTCTGGGATAGGGACGCTTGGTCGATTGAACCAAGGTAACCCGCAGCTGGTGAAAGCCACTGATATGTCAAGCACGTCAGCTGCAATGTGCCAATGGGATCGGATGCCCATTTGTATTATCGCCTGCCGAAAGTCGCTGCGGCAACGAAGAAGCCAACAAATCCCATCAGGCAACTCGTAATGCCCGTGCCCCCTTGAATGTCGTCTCGAAGCATCCACCAAACCAGGCCGGGTGCCAAACACAGTGAAAGAGCCACAAGGCAGGTCCAGAAGAATTTTTCCCAATGAAGACCGGCGCGGAGATACATTCCCCAGCCTACTTCTGCGTCGTCACCGACAACCAGTAGCCTACCGTTGAGTTTTCGTGGTATGCGTCGAATGATGCGACGGTGCGTGTCAATGTCGTGGCTTTTCCTGTAAAGGTGAAGTAGCGTCCTTGGTGGCCAAGCTTCAAATACGAAGTCGTCCTTGAGGGAGGATTCGCATGGCTCGTACTCAAGAGCTCTAGCATCGGGTGGATATGCGGGTGTATCGAGGCAAATAGATGCTAAGCAGGTCATGGTCGGGTGGAACTTGCAGAGAGTAAGCCATGTGCATAAGTTATACTATGAATCCTAGGTCCCATACCCGAACATAATCAATCGCAGTGACTGTCTGAAATGTCAACCAATCCCTCCATCCTGTGCGACTGGTCTCATAATATGTTCGCAACATCTGGAAATATGCTTTGTCGTTCTCAACGGAGTTCCATTTCTTTTGGAACAATTTTGGTAGTCCCTGGTCAGCATCCACACATGTCAATAGGTAGATATCCGCGTCCGGTTCGATCTGGTGAGACGGCAGCGAAATGGTGTCTTCAGGGTCGCGCTGTCGAGCGTTCCTTCTTGTAAATTTTCCGACCAACGCACAAAAAGACTTGCAAAGCACTTGGAGTGACCTGAAAGGCTTGAATGTAATATTCGAATTTTGAGTCGCGGTATGACCGTTCGGTACAGTCCGGAAGAGCCTGTTGAGCCTTATTTCGAGGATCTTAGCATCGGCGGGGCTTCGTTGAGGGAAGTCGTCCCACATCATAGTCCCACAAGAGCAACTCCACCTGATGCGAGTAGTTTCTGCGTGTGGTTCTGGCTCTAAGAGCCTGGCTATATGCGAAAAGATCCTCCAGAAAACCTTCCTCACGCCACCCTTTTCTTGCTGATTTACCGAAATCCGAGCTTCATTTTCGTCACGGAGTTGATCAACACAATGCTCAAGCCGAGTAATGAGTCTCTGAAAACTCGGCGAGCTCAAGATGAAGCGCTGCACCGTTGCAAAATTTGGCTGAATGAAAAACGCATCTTGTGAAGTTTCCCCAATCGAAGGATCTGCGTCAAAGGCTTCACTGAAAAACCCTGGGGAGGAGCAATATGCTTTTTCATCCTCGAATGCCGTTTCTCCGAGTTGATCTAGAATTCCAAGTTCAGACCGTATCCGCCAGGCTAGAGTGAAGACATGTTCTGCAATGAAAGCAGCAACTTTCCTCTCATACTCCAGTATCGAATGATGCTGCAGCTCTGTTGCAAAAAAGCGTATGCAAGTAATGAGATGCTCCCTAAATATATCTGGGTTCTCCTGAAAACCAGAAATGATCAAGCGGTTGAGCTCATTGTCGGAAATTATAGTATGTACAAGGCGCGAAGCTATTCCAGGCTCTGTCGATAGACTGCCTTCATTAGATGTGCCTATTCAACCATCCGTAGGCTGGATTCGTCATCAGAATCAAGCCACTGCGAGCGTTGGGGTCGCGTTGCTTCACTTCTTGCGACTAGAGGATGTTTTAGTCCCGAGGTATCGAAGATGGTTGGTATGGTGTTTCGGTCCACAGTATCGAGATTAACGAGGTCAGTATCAGTATCAGACGACCGGCCAAAAGAGTAGCTCAACGAGGATGAGGGACTACAAATCTGGCACCGCCAGTGCCCACAATGAGAACATCCTAGATTTATTACGGGGGACTGGGGTCCCATATGACAGTGGCAGCAATACCAGTTAGTTTCCGGCATGCTTTCCAGTACCGCCTCCACATTAACGCTCAATTTTGTGGTATTTGAACGCCGTGAATGCAAAATAAACTTTCTTCGGGACAGTCATTAGCACTCATAAAAGTCCTTCGTAGATAGTTGTTGAACTCAAAAAAACAGATTGCGCTATTTTACTACTTGTGTCACCAGCGTTTTGTTACAGAATTGATACGTGCTTTACCTCAGCCGCGGATATATTTTTGGTATCCGCGTTTCGCGCTATATCGCTTGATATAGCAACTCTGTACGTATTAATGCTCGCTCTGCGCACTGAATTAGATAGAACAACTTGCTATTTACACACTATCCACTTGATTAGTCAGCACAGTTCATTAACTTTCTATGCCCTCTTTCTGCACACTCTGCGTACCAATTCTGTGCCCTCTTTCTGCGCATTCCGATTTTGATGGGGTACGGCTTGGCAAGATTCTGCAGCCTTGGCAAGCTAACAGCGCTGCGTTTAAACTCAAGAAGGCAGGAACACGAACTTTCTTGCGGCCCGCATTTTAAAGCTTACTGCACCAGTTTGCAACCAATTGATCGAGCTTGGCGGTCCTTTCACATTACTACGTAGATAGATGATTTCGGATGTTTAACTGCATACTACGGTACCTGGCTGAAGTATTCGTAGCATGGCCCTAGTATATCTGCACTAAAACAGACTTCAAACGAGACAGTTAAGCTTTGAACGGTTAAGCGGTATTACTGTGGCCAATTGATACCAATAATTGTCTAACAAGCTTCTAGACACCGAGGTGGCGCTGTATCCGAACTAGCTGCTACTAGCGCCGTGCTACGATCAATTATGCCTCCTACCGTAGTAGTTCTATGTAAACTAGATCATATCACAGATAGGCTGAAACTAAGCACACATTGATGATAATTAGGTATAGTTTTTTGAAGGCCTTCTCCTGCTAAGTAACGTTAGATTTTAACGTTCTTTTGCCGAGGCTGCAGCAGAATTATTACGCGAAATCGCGGCAATGCTATTCCCAATAAGAAAGGCGGACCACAGGGGATACGACTGAGAGACATGAAAATAACATCTAATTCTTCGAAGTGAGGCTGCCTCCTTCATTTAATCAAACCTCAGACACTCAAACGCAACGTGATCATTACCTGATCATCTTCCGTTGTCCATTCCTCACTCTCCGACATGGCCGCGTCCACCAGATGGTTCATCAGCGTCTTAAGCTTTCTCCATTGGCAGGTGACCGAGTACTCCACCTCCCCTGCAGGAGCGATACCACTTCCCGGCCCGTCCGACGAGAGCGCCGCGCTCCGCAGGCTCGATTCATCTCCGCTCTGTGGCAAGCGTCGGGTGCCATTGCCATTATCCGACATCATGGCCATCTTCTCCACCCCGTTCTCCCTGCTGTTGGTTCCGGTGCTGGTCGAAACGCTGTCCGGCTCCATCTCGGCCCTTAAAAAGGCGTGCTGGTTCCAGATGGGGTCCTGATCGTCCCATGATGCTGTTGCTGTTGTTGCCGTCGTCTTTCCCAGCGCTGTGCCTCCTCTTCCTTGTCGCCGGCCACCAGTTCCAGTGGCATCGCTGATGGCCATCATGCCGGCGCTGAATGGGGGTGTCGGGAGGGAGAAGTTGCTGCTGGCAGCACTCATGGTTGCATCATCCGGGTGCAGACGGGGCGGACCCCTACCGGCCCCAAAAAAGCCCGTCAGGTCGATGGCGCTGTTAGGCGATGGTGACACACTCCCACTGGACAGTGCAGAGAGTGAAGCATGTCGCAGTAATTGAGCGTCACCGGTGTTGGCGGCTTGTTGTTGCCCAGTTCCCTGGCGATTAAGGCGCCGCATCAGCAGGGAGTACCTGTTTTTGAGAGCCAGGGGGGCGCGCGCAACTCAAAGAAGCTGTCGGCTATAAACTTCCAGTTGCGGCCGTATGTTTTCACCATGGTCAGCAGGCGCTCATCCTGTTAGATGCAAAGGCCTCACGAATCAGCCGGTATTTATTGACGGTATGTGTTGTCATGTCCTGAAAAGTTGATGGTACTGAAACCAATTTAGACTCACCTCCTCTGGTGTCCATGGGCTGTGGTCCAGCTCCGGTTCAGGTTCTCGTTCCACCGCTTCGCACACTGGTCCCCGTTGCGAGTTTCCACCTCACGCGCTACCCTCACCCATCGGGTGCCGTATTTGGTCACTGCCTCGCGGAGGCGCTCGTCCTCGACCGGAAGCCACGTCCCGACCTTGACGGGGTGCCGCCGTCGCGGTTGTGGTTGTGGATGTTGGTGGTCGTGGTGTCGAGTCTCTGGAATGTCTACGGCGTCCATTTCTGTTATAGTCGTCAAAGCAATCCAGGGAATATTCCTTTCGCCTGTTTATCCATGATATGATTACAAGGCATGGCAAGTACATCGGCCAGGCTTGGTGCTATATCACTCATACAGTAACCAACACTGAATCAGCCGCCTTCGGGATTCCTCGTACAGAAGATGATCGAAGGGGGGGGAGGGGGGCCGAAGGTAAGTGTTATAAGGCCGAGCCGCAGCTCTACGCCACGTTGCAGAATAGAAGCGGCTAAAAGATGACTGGTGAGATGCTGTTCTTGAGCGGTGTACCCCCAAGGCTGTTAAATCAACAAATATCAAGCCATCCTTCTGTGGCACATGAGAACAGAGAACGACGAGTACGCGAACTAGATATGCGTTGGGTGAAATGTTGGTCTTTCAAACCTTTACATAATACTGTAGTATCAGACTAAAGTTTTCGTAACGCAGTAAAGACATGAGCTGTATTTCACTCATCATACAGCACATGATGAATATATCTTCTTCAAGTGAAGTATCTGATATAATAACTATTATATTCAATAGTCACAAACACTGATAATTAAATGTATTTGAAATCAGGACATTGAATTCATTATTTGGAAGATATAAGAGAAAAGTGTTAGTATGATTATTGTAGCATTACTGTGCATTGCGAAAGTGTTGCAAT